TACAGTGTGCCGGGAAACTAGAACTGCTGTTTGACCAAGGTTGCCATGCAATCTTGCAATGTTGGTCTCGCAGACTAGTTTACCTTAGACCAAGATTGCAAACAAGATTGCCACGCAATCTTGCAATCTTTGTCTCCAACAGGTAAACTAGTCCGTGAGCAAGCGGAGAAAAGGTGGGGAGGCGGCAAGATTGCAAGCAATCTTGCAGTCTTGGTCTCCAAAAGGTCAACTAGTCGGCGAGCTAATGGGGCAGGGCAAGATGAGCAAGACTGCTTGGCAATCTTGCCCGCCCCCTGCCCGCCTGAGCAAGATGGCAAGACCATCAAGATTTTGGATAAAAATAGCAGTTCTAGTTTGCAGGCACAATGTGTCACTACCACTACCACCACCACCACCACGACTACTACTACTACTACTACCACCACCACCTACTACCCTACCCCTACCCCGATTCTTACTACCTCTACCCCTTCTCCTTCTCCTCTCCTTTTCCTGCTCCTACTACTACTGCTCCTGCTACTACTACGACTAGACTACGACTACTACTTCCTACTGCGACTACTACTTACTACTACGGTTGCTGCTTACTGACTACTGCTGCTATTGCTACTGCTGCTGCTGCTTCTTCTTCGACGACGACGACTACTACTACTTCTTCTTCTCCTTCTACTTGTACGTTGATCTCTACGTCTATTTCCTGCTACCATCTATCAGCACGAACGATAATTAGACTACGTACTACATTGTGACTTAAATCGTTGGCAGATGCCAGGGTGCCGGAGGTCCTGGACTAGGCAGAACCGGATAGAGTCACCCCAAGAAGTTGCAAGTCTCTAATCTTCAAGATTTATGGGCCGTTTATTCGGGGTTCACTATGCAGTGCTCTGCGCACCCACTTGCGCACAGAGAGCTACTTGAGCCAGAACTTCTGCCAAATCCAGCTCAGGTGCTCATGGGCATTGGCGCCGGCATGTAGGTGCCGGGCGCCTCCGATGATTTGAAGTCGGAACATGTTCGGTCCCGATTTTCTGAAGAGGCAAACTCCCAAGTGCGCCAGCAGGACCGAGCAATGTGAGCCCGGCATAACTGGCAGCGTTGTGGGCATCACCTGGCAGGCTGCATACTGTAGGCACTTACCGGGACTTTCGACAAATGTCACAGCTTGCAAACGGACCACCTGCCCAGCGCAATAACCGGCAGGCACTGCCGAAATGGACCTTGAAGGGACGTTCTTCAACAAGTCTGGCAGTATCGTTACCCCAATACTGGCGAGTTTCGGTTGCCATGTGGCACAAGTACAGAGCGGGTCTCTGAGAGTACGGCATCCTGACCTCCGCAACAACCAAAGCCTTCAGCACGGGTGTTGCGCAGCAAAAGAACGCCGCTTAGCGGCTTAGCCCGCCTCGGCTGCGGAGAGGTTCGACTCTGAGTCTTGAGCCCAAAACCACAGGCGGCAATTGAAGGTGTTGATGCAACAGATCTTGTGGGCACAAGGCAAAAGATGTCCCCAAGGCCTTTTTCGCAGGATGCCCCGTCAGTAAGGAGCTGCCCTTTCAGAAGGAACGCCCGGTCGCACCTTGCAAGGGTGGAGAAAGCTTCTCCCAGAATTCCCGCGTCTTGGCATGATTTAGGGCAGTGACCGGAGAGAAACCTGCATCCTGTCCCAGGAGGCTCACACCCTCCAGGATCACTTCCTTCGCCTACCATGAGAGTGAGGAGATTTTGCTGCCGACAGTGCTGCTGGCTCTGTAGAGCCCGCACACCCTTGGCCTGGAGTTTGCCGCTCTCCCCGACTTCGATGCTGAATCTGACCTGCTGTCCTACCTCCGGAAGGCCTGAGTCAGCGTTTGCGGCAGAACTCCTCTCCCAACTAGAGCCGAGTGTGACGGTGACAGCCGACAGCCGACTGAGCTGGATCGCTGGCGGCATCTTGTAGAGCATTCTGGTGCAGAAAGATGTCCTCCGCACGCGACCAAACTACAGATGCTGTCGAACAACTGTGTCATGTGTATTTTTGTCATCTCAGGACTGAAACTTGGATGGGAATGATTTTTATAGACAGATTGACAGCTACATGGCTGCACCAGGTCATTGTGCAGTCCTTGCCAGAGAACAGGGCAGTGATCTCGTCGCTAGTGACGAAACCCCAGCGCTTCTCGGCATTGAACATCCTCAGCAGCTGATGAGCACTCACCACTCTCTTTATTCCCAAACAGGCGAAGCGATGCGAGAGCTCGGAGTCCAGGGCCCCCCTTTTTGCAAAGCACCGTCGCTATTATCGCGCGAGCTTCCTCAAAGCTTCCGGAGGCTCCTGTCCAGCGTCCTCGATGACTTTAACGAGACCGCGGGCCATGCGCGCCTTGTCTGAGGCGCCGAAGTCGCAGGTGAAGAAGCTCACAGCTGTGCCGTGAGCGCCTGCTCTTCCGGTTCGACCGATGCGATGGACGTAGTCCTCGATCGTCTTAGGCATGCTGTAGTTCACCACATAGGCAACATCCTTGATGTCAAGGCCTCCAGGCTTCGCAACAGTGAGAACAGCTCAAACCCTAGACAGCAACCTTCCCAAAACTCCCATGGCGGACCTCGCTGGGCGACATCTGTTGCAACCAGAATTTGGCAGCGGCCTTTCCTGAACTGATATAATATTGAATCACGCTCCCTCTGGTCCTTGTCCCCGTGTATCGCACCGGCTGCATACTGCTCATACCTTAACTCCCTGCACAAAGCGTCTGCCGCACGCTTAGTTTCGGTGAACACCAGTACACGTGGCTGCGCACCCTGTGCGGGTGATACTTCCTGCAACCACTCAAAGAACCTCTGTTTCTTGTCCAATTCAGTTACAACCCGGATGTCTTGTCGAATGTTCGGGTTAGCCTTTGCCGCCGATATGCCAACTGTGACTTTCAGCATGTTCTCGCAGAAGTCGTTTGCAAGGTCCCGGATGTTTGCCGGCCACGTCGCAGACCACATCACCGTCTGCCGCTCTGGGCGCACTTGTGACACGACCCGTCGGAGCTGTGGCTCGAAGCCCATATCCAACATGCGGTCTGCCTCGTCTACCACAAGATACGACACGCGGCCCAGGTTGGTCACCCTTGCCTCCAAAAAGTCAAGCAGGCGTCCGGGTGTGGCAATGAGCACGTCAACACCCTTGCGCAAAATCTGCTCCTGTCCTCGCCTCGATACACCCCCATACACCACAGCATCTCGGACACCTAGAATCTCACCAACACGAAACGCTTCCATCTGAATCTGCATTGCCAGTTCACGTGTAGGTGCAAGGACCAGAACAACGGGACCCTCGCCAAGTTCGGCAGGCTGTGCTTTGACGTGGAGCATTGCCGGAAGCAGGTAGGCCAGAGTCTTTCCACTACCAGTCTGTGCCAACCCCACCATGTCACGCCCTGAAAGGGCCAGTGGCCAACCAACAGACTGTATCGGAGTCGGAACAGAAAACTCACCCCTGAGGTACTCAACAACAGGTTTGGGAAAGCCGGCATGGTCAAAGGACCGGATGGGTTTCGGAAGCTCTTTGGTACCTTCAACCTGCACGCCATTCTGCTGCAGGAAATCCTGCACTTCTTCTCGGGACTGCGAAGTCACTGCTGGGTGCTCCTTGTAAAACAGGCTCAGGGAACCTGAAGATGCCTGCGACCAATCGACTGGTTCCAGGTTCATGCCGGCATGGCTCAAGTCCCGTCCACTTGCGCACGGAGGCCCAACGTGCTTCTGTACCTAAAACAGGGGACCCCAATATAGTACCTTAAATAGTAGGATCCTTATTTTTAGTTACCCCTATTTTCTATAGCTCCTGCCAGGCTTCCGAAGGGGGCATCTCTTCAGGAACTCTCGGAGGCGGCGGAGGTGCCGGCGGCGGCTGGAGCTTGACGCCTGGCGAGAACCGAGAACTGAAGTGGGACTAAGTGCACTCCGATCTCTCGGGAAGTGGGCTCTCCCTTGATTTCTCCCTGCTGTACCTATCATGGGGCGCTACCGCTCTCAAAGCAGACCTCTCTTGGAGCTGGAGACGCCAAAAGAACGGCGCTGACTCTGCGGTCATTCTTGAGAACTGCCCCAGCCTGCCTGCTCTGAACCTATGACTAGATGATGAGATAGATGTCGAGTTGCTCGGAAGTTTCGGAAGGGGTAATTAAGGGCCTAAAAAAGTGACATTGCGGGCTAAGAATCATTCCAGCAAACAGGCCTCCAGGCGTTGGCAGGGGTTCAGCGGAATGCGAGTGCTCAGTCGCAGCCGCAGCCCTAGCGACAGTGGCTGTGGCGGTAGCCGTTGGCTCTGCCTCTCGGGGCTCTGCCTCTTCGGCCCGCGTTGCTTCGACCGTCTCGATTGTGCTCCCCACATGCGATGGTTGCGGCTGCGGCCGAACTGCCCAACTCGCTGGATGTTCATCTATAGGGATAAAGGTATCGTCGTCATAGAGCTCTGGTCGCCGACCAAAGTTGTCCGTTACCAGCATGCGTGGAGCAGAACGCTGCGCTCCCGGGGACGGGCACAGGCGAAGCCCAGGCCGCAGTAGCCTCGAAACTCGGCGCGAGGCCATGCTTCCCAAATGATGCATGCCCGTGTGCTTTGTGTTGTGCAACCTCCCGTGATGATTCATGCCCTGTCACGGTACAGCCTCTGGAAAGCTCCATAACCGCTGCACCGACTGCACACTGTCATTGCAGATGACTGCAAGGTTGCTTGGCTCAAGATGCTGCAGCGAAGTCCGTGGCAGGCTTCCGAAAATCAAGGAACCTCACGTGACTGGGGTTGAGGAGCCAGCTTGACGGTGCCAACGAACTCTCTTCCTGGCCTCACATCCGGGTTTGAGCTGCGCACGCTCCGATGGAAGCCTGCTTGTTGAAGCGGTCTGTGTTTAGACAAGCCACTGCCCTTCGAACTGGAAGGTTTCGGCAGGCAGCACCTCAAGGGCTCGCGAGGGTTAGGAGGCTGGAGCCCGCCAGGACTGCCTTTCAAAACTTCGTGCATCAGCAGGGGAACTGAGCTGGCTGCAGTCACTTCACAGGCCTGTTCCAAAGCCAAGAACTCTTCAGCACCAACGTGCTACGCCCTCGCCTGCGGACCCTTGGCTGCCATAGTGACCTCTACAGCACAGCAGGCATACCATCAGGTCCTGCAGAAATGTCCTCCCCGAACTATGGCCTACCTTGAAGGCCAGAAGTGTTCCTGCCTCCACCAGAGCGCCGCCTCACACAGAATCGACCCCGGTTCCTGCGCTGTAACCACGGGGTTACTTGGGCTCCAGCCAAGTGTGCTCCTCAGGAGAAAAACCTCCTTGCCATAAACTGCTTTCGCAGCCTGCAATAGAAGGGAAGGATGTCAACACTGCCGAGAGACCGAGAGAGACAGAATCAAGGACATCGGGCAAAAGGGATCTAGACAGGGAAGAGGAACTGAGACAAAAACCGCAGGACAAACAAGAGAGAACCCACCATTGCACCCAAAACAGAGCTTGCCTCGCAGGAGATGTGTCCCCAGCCCTTCTCTTCATTGTAACCTCAAGGGACAAACTGTTGCAGATGGCTTCTTCGAGAAGACAGCCATGCCAGGAAGGCATGGTTCACGCAAGCACTCAGGACTCGAAGCCACTTCAAAGTTCACAGGTTCTGTGCAGGTGGACAAACGGACTGGAACGTCACACCACGCTACTTACGCAGCGAGACTTTGAACCCAAGATATGGCTGGAAGAGATAAGTCCATACAAGAATCGTGTAAAGGTCAGATTGAGCAGTGGCCTTTCACAGCTCCAAAGAAGAGTTGGTCAGGCGCAGGCCTGATAAAGAAGGTGGAAGGCTCAGGAAGGGATGAGGATTAGGAAGGAAAAGATACAAGCATGAGTCTGAAATCAAGTGAAATCATTCGGGAGTAAGGAGACTCAGAGATGCAGCTGCGAGCACGGTACCGCACCTTGCAGCACTTGCAGCACTTGGAGGCGGCGCCAACATGCGGGGCATCTGAGGCACCACCGGAATCCTCAGCAGTAGCAGGACATCGAAGCTCCTGAGGTTTCGCACATGCAGCCGTTGAAGTTAAACACTAAGCCTTGATGTACTTCTTGATGGAAGACCTCACAGAATTCTGCCTGATCCGGGGGCCCAACATCAGTGGCGGAGGCGCCCTCCTTGGTCGCGAAGGCTGTTGGACGCTATGATAGATGATGCTGGTGCCGCTGGAGCGCTTCTGGTGGTGCTGGTGCTGGTGGTGCTGGTGTGCTGGTGATCGTTGGAGCGGATGTTTCCGGATGGGATGATGCTGAACGAGCTGAGACCGGACTTCGAGAAATACGGCTGGGAGCTTCGTGTTCAGAGTTGGGCTTTAAGCAACAATGCTTCCTGACGTCTAGAAAACTGCGACATGGTCAGCGGCAAATACCTGTCTGCAGCCACGAGGCATTGCAGGAAAGGCTGAGTCACGATGCATCGCAGGAGCTGGAGAAATTGGGCAAACTTTCTCGGCCTAGCAGAAACATGAAGCTGCGCGGATGGCTTCAGGCGCCTTGCATCACATGTGTGCGGTCTGTCTGTGTGTGTGTGTGTGTGTGTGCGTGTGTGTGTGTGTGTGCCTGCATGCCCTTCGTCCCAGACACCACTGTAAAGGAAACTTGCCTTAGAATCGGTCCATGTGATTTGCACCCAGTGTGCGTCCTGTCCAGAGGTTCTAAGGCATCCAACTGATTCCTCTCGATGACACCGCCGACCACGGAGGACTTCATGAAGAAGACATCCTTCAATGCCAAATGTTACGCATTCTGCCGAAGCAACGTGCCTGCCTTGCCGTACATCTCCACCACCTCAGGACTTGTGACGAAGCCCCAGCCTCAGAAAGAGGAAGATGAAGCACCTTGGGGGTCAACCTGAGTGCTCTCTTCCTGTCAAGCCGCCCTTCTCGGCATTGTAGGACTTCACCGTTCCAACCATGTTGGAGCCTAGCACCGGAAGCTTCCAAGCCGATAACAACATGGCAGCAAACCGTCCTGCATGCTGATTCACAGGCTGGCTGTACACAGTCATCGGGGCCGATCGCGCCGTCGGCATGGGCTGCATTTGCTGACTATATCCATGTCCTTTGGGCAATGATTCGAGCAGTGGGGAGAAACGAAGCAACATCGCACGGTTCAGGACTGTGCCGTTCATGGGCCCGTTCACAGCTCCCAGAGGTGTAGCCTCGGCACACTGAACCGTCCTTATTAAAGTCAGCTCTGATGGCACAGCCGAGGCATGAACAGGTCTCGCCGACCCTAGCACCACAACGTCGCTGGCCTTTCGGTTTGGGCACCATGTCTGGTGGCAACTTGAGGTCTGTGCTCTCGACAGCTGCGCTGTAGACTATACTCGAGTGGTATCTTGCGATCGCAGTGCTACCTTGAGCCGAAGGCCATGTCGTAATACTCTCCAGAAGTCTGAGACATGGCAATGAGGTATTGTGGTGCTTCGCCACTTGCTGTGAAGGCCCCAGAGTCTGACACCAGAAGACTTCTCGGGTTTCGCGGAGCAGCCTGTGGTCCTCGCCCGTGGTCTACCACATTGAACATGACCTCAGGGTTTAGGGTTTAGGGAGGGTCTCAAAAGGAGTTCATGGCATCACAAAGAGCTTCTGACAACCCCGGCCTGGTCTCCTTGGCCACCACCCGACAGTGCGCTCCTCAAGACGAAGATGTCCTGCAGCAGAGAGAAGCCTCTGATGGTACCACATCCCAACACATCGAAAGATACACAATGATAAAGATGTCAAGCAAACTGTAGCTTGAGATTCTTGGATTCTTGACTGATCCCACGTCGGGGCCTTGCCATAGATAGCCTGCGTCTGAGGGCATTCAATGAAGCCCCAGCCTGCCAGAAGTCCACAACTTTCGATCGGTCTGCAACCTTCATCACTGATATTGTGGAGGTGACTGAGTCATCCATGTGGGGTTGCTCTCACTGCTAGTATTTCCACCACGAAGAGTACTCTCAACACCGTTGATTTCACGACCAACACAACTGCGTCATTTCTGGTGGGATTACGATCAGCGGTACCACAACGCTATGGTCAGAGTGAATGTTTCTGTTGCCATCAAGATACAATCATGGCATCTGTCGACAACGACGACGACGACGACTACGACGACGACTACGACTTCTGCGACTACTGCGACTACTGCGACGACGACGACGACTACTGCTACCACGGCGACGACGACGACGACGACTACTACTACTACTACGACTACGACTACGACTACGACTACGACTACGACCTAGACCTACTACTACTACTACTACTACTACTACTACTACTACTACTAACTACTACTACGACTACTTACTTACTTACTTACCTACTTACTTACTTACTTTCTTACTTACTTACTTACCTACCTACTACCCACTACCTACTACCTACTACCTACTACCTACTACCTACTAACTACTAACTACTAACTACTACTCCTGCTGCTACTAGAGCTACTAATGCCAGGCATTATTGTTACTGACATGACTATCCTTATGCTATCCCCGGCAAGCTTTGCGAGGTTGCGCCTTTGGATTCATTGTATGACCTTAGTCGCGGAAAAACATTTCTCGGAATTGCGACAGTCCTGGGGCGGTGCTTCACGAAGCCAGTGTACTGCGCCATATCCTGTGCATGGCAGCGTTGTTCGCTCACTCTGATAGCAGATGGCGACATGCACTTCGTGCCAACCAGGCCACCCTGTGGCTCAGCTCATACGGAGCTACGCAGCTTCGAACACGGTCACTGCTACTGTCATGTCTTGGGAGGTATAAGCAGCTGTGGCTATCGTGAAATGCACACATGCACTTCCCCTTGCCATGCTTGCAAGATAATCTTGGTCCGGATGCTGCAGGGCAGAGGGCCTGGCGGACGTTTAGGGAGCACTCCAAACACAGACGGCATCCAGGAGGACTTGTGCCTTTTGTCTCAAAGCCGCCTCTTGACATGCATTGGCAAGAGGATGCAGGAGACCGGGAGACAAAGCTGCATTAACTCCAGCATTCTGGCGGCGGGGACCTGAACATCAAGGCAGCTAGGCTCGAGTCTTGGAAGCTGCAACTGCTCGCGTGGCCCCGACCCGTAACCCCGCAGGGTCCTCACAGGCACCAGCGCCTGGCGAGAAATCCCGAAATCTGAGTGCACGATAATGTAATATAATATATACAAAGGCCAGCGGCCTTCCCCCCACCGGCACCAGGGCAAAGCATCACATGGGCCGGCTCTGCCATGCCTGGGAACTTCGTCGCTTCATCCAACATCACATGGGCCCATGAGAGACACTGGGACATCCTACGAGATGGCATGATCAAGCGTGCCACAGCAAGTTGAGCGGAAGTTGCGCTTGTACCAGCTATCCCTTGGGCTCCTGCAAGCTTTTGCCAAGACTGGGAGGCCTCTTTTGAGCACAATGATGCAGCGTCACACTCTCAATCAAGACATTTCCATCCCACCTCATCCTGAACGACACTGACCTGGCATGAACTGGAACAGTTGATGCAATAATTCGAAAGTCGCAACTCTCCCTGGCGACATGCCGCCTGCGGTACATGTGGAGCGTTGCTCATCATGCACCTGCCACCAAAGTGTCGCAAGGCGTTTAGAACTCCATGAGCCGAGTGTCCGATTCCGGGAGAGCACGCGGTTCTGGCGCTTTTTGCGCTTGTGGCAGGGACCAAGCGCGAGTACCTTGCCCGCGAGAAGCTGGAGCCATCCTGTCGCTCGCTGTCTCGGCACACGATCCCGCACTGAACGTGATGGGCATGGGAGGACCTGGCTTGTAAAAACATGGCACAGCCTGAAGAATCATAGCGATCTCAAAACAAAAATGTTTCTGCTAGAAGCACCAGTCTGCAAGAATCTTCCGGCCTCCCGACGCCCGGTTCACTCGAACCTGATGCAAGAAGCGAAGCCTCAAAGTCTGGCCTGGTCTCAAATTTCGGCCTGCTGAGCTGTTGCCGCCGCCTGCTGCGAAGCTTGGACCTGCTACTACCAGGTACTGCCAGATGCCCCGAACTGCGGAGACAACTCGAGGAGCACACCGCTTGCTGCGCAATGAAGGCACGCTGCTGAGCCACCTCTTCGTTTCGTTTCATGTCTAGAGAGTCTAGGTCCAGAGATCTCCAACCCACTGGCACTCGAAGAAAAGCAGAGCCTGCGCAGATGCTGCATGCTGCTGTGCCTGAGCGGGTCAGATGGCAGCTGGTGTCAAAGTTGGAAGCGACAGCACCCCATCTAAGTCCCCGGCTTGCAGCTCCTTCATCTCGTCATTGTATTGGAGCTGCGTCTGGCAATGCGAGCTCGAAGGCTCAAACACAGAACAGCTCCACGGCTGCCTCATACTGCTGCTTCTGGAACTGGTACTGTTGATAAGCCAAGTCCTAGTTCTTTGCAGGCATCGGGACAAAAAGAGAAGGGGAGCAGGTCCTCTTGCGCTTTCTTCTGGTTGAACTCCAAGAGCAACGCATTCGCCTCTTACAGGTGCAACTTAAACGAATTCTGTGGGCACGCAAACAGAAATCTTCCTTCACGAGATCCGGCCTGGTGCTCCAAGGCCGACTTCTGCTGCTGCGCGGCTTGCTGAAGCAACAGCAGCTGCCTTTTGCCAACAAAATCCACGGCTGCTCACACCATGCGCTGCATGCGCTGTGTTTGAGTGAGAGGCTCGTTGTGCTGCTGCGCCAGTTCCATCTCCTGAGCATCAAAGCCATTCAAATCAGCACTTCACGGGATCTCTACCAGTAAGCTAACAGCTCGCTGCTTGATCTCTTGGTCCACCTAACAAAGACTTGCAGCAGGTCTTGTCTCTTGTGCGCAACACCCACATCCGCTTCCGCCTGCAAGGCATACTGGCGCTTGCGTTGATCTCCCATCTGAGTGAAGGACTTGTGAAATTCAAAGTTCAGACTTGACGGTGCTGGGTGTTGTGAGATACCGGCTGCGAACAAATTGTCGGACTGTTGCTTCAGCTGCTGTGCAAGAACTTCCGTCCCGTGCCTTCGTCGCGCACGAGGCTGTAGGTTATCAATTACAGGGTCTGGGCTTCTTGCGGATTGCCCATGCTGAGTTGGAAGGCTTCAGCTGGTCATCCAGCCCGCGAGAGTATGCACTCTTCTGGCGCTCAATGGATGTGGGATCTGGAAGACCTGAAGACGAAACGTGCAGGTAAACTTTGCAATTCCATCAAAGTGAACCAATGTCCCAGGCCTGCCGTAAGACTTGGAGGCACTTGTGGCTCCACTGGGGCGGACGGCTCCTCAGTGGAAAGCGGGGGCAAAGTGGCAGAAGTTGCAATGGTCACAAAAGTCGCCGTAGTGACTGGCTATCGCACGAGCAGTAGCAGTAGCAGCAG